AAGATGAGTAGACAAGGTAAGAACACATGCAACACCACAAAGAGCAACACAACACCAGTAAAACTAAACACCCTACAACAGCAAGACCTGAACAACCAAATATGGATGAAGCAGAAGAAAATAACTTAAAAAATAACTTCAGGAGAATGTTTGAAACTCTTAAAGAGGAAATGAGAAATTCCCTTAAAGAAATGGAGAAAAAGACAAAAAAAAAAAAATGGAAGTCATCAGCAAATCCCTTAAAGAAAATCAAGAAAAAAAAAATCAAACATATAAAAGAAAATATTCAAGACTTGAAAACAGAAATAGAGACAATAAAGAAAACACAAGCTGAGGAAATTACAGAAACAGAAATCATGAGAAAATGACCAGAAACCACAAACGCAAGCATGAACAGCAAAATACAAGAGATGGAAGAGAGAATCTCAAGTGCTGAAGATACAATAGAGGAAATAGACTCATCAGTTAAAGAAAACATTAAATCTAACAAAAGCTTAACCCAAAATATCCAGGAAATATGGGACACCATGAAAAGGCCAAATCTAAGAACAATAGGTATAGAAGAAAGAGAAGTTCAACTCAAAAGCACAGAAAATATATTTACCAAAATCATAGAAGAAACTTTCCCAACCTAAAGAAAGATATGCCTACGAAGACACAAGTGGCTTACAGAACACCAAATAGGCTGGATCCAAAAAAAAAAAAAAAGTCCACTTGCCACATAATAATCAAAACACTAAACATACAGAGTAAAGAAAGAATATTAAGAGCTGCAAAGGAAAAAGGCCAAGTAACATATAAAGGTAGACCTGTCAGAATTACACCTGAGTTCTCAGTGGAGACAATGAAAGCCAGAAGGTCATGGTCAAGCATTATGCAGACATTAAGAGACCACGGATGCCAGCCCAGACTACTATACCCAGTAAAACTTTCAATCACCACAGAAGGACGAAACAAGATAGTCCATGAAAAAATAAGATTTAACCAATAACTAGCCACAAACCCTAGATACTAGAAGAAAATACTAGAAGAAAACTCCAACCTATGGAAGTTGGCTACATCAACAAAAACACAGACAATTGACGGTCTCATAGCAGTAAATCCCAAAGAAGGGAAAAACACACAAATTAACACCATCAACAATGAAGTAAATTAACAGAAGATAGCAATCACTGGTCATTAACATCCCTTAATATAAATAGACTCAATTTACCTATAAAAAGGCACAGACTAACAGACTGGATACAAAAACAGAATCCATCCTTCTTCTGCACACAAGAAACACACCTCAACCTCAAAGACAGACATTAAAAAATATTCCAATTAAATGGTCCTAAAAACAAGTGAGTGTAGCTCTTCTAATATCAAAGAAAATAGACTTCAAACTAAAATCAATCAAAAAAGACAAAGAAGGTCATTTCATATTAGTCACAGGAAAAATCCATCAAGAAGAAATTTCAATACTGAACATCTATGCTACAAATTCAAGGGCACCCTCATATGTCAAAGAAACACTTTTTGTAAATAAAGTAAAGCCTTTTTTTTTTTTAAGATTTATTATTGTACACAGTGTTGTCTGCACATATGTCTGCAGGCCAGAAGAGGGCATCAGATCTCATTACAAACGGTTGTAAGTCACCATGTGGGTACTGGGAATTGAACTCAGGTCCTCTGGAAGAGCAGTCAGTGCTCTTAACCACTGAGCCATCTCTCTAGCCTCCAAAGAAACACTTCTAAAGCTTACATCATACATTAAACCCCACATACGAATAGTGGGAGACTTCAACACTCCACTCTCACACTGGACAGGTCAGTCAGACAAAAAATGAACAGAGAAATAAGGGAACTAGCAGATGTTATGACTCAAATGGACTTAACGAACATCTATAGAATATTCCATCCTAACATAAAGAATATACCTTCTTCTCAGCACCTCATGGAACCTTTTAAAAAATTGACCACATAATCAGTAACAAAACAAACCTCAACAAATACAAAAAAAAATTGGAATAACCCAATGTACCTTATCAGATCACCATGCTTTAAAACTATAAGTCAACAGCAATACCAATTCCAGAAAACCTACAAACACATGGAAATTAAACAGTGCTCACCTGAATCATCAATGGGTCAAGGAAGAAATAAAGGGGGAAATTAATGACTTCCTAAAATTCAATGAAAATGACCACACAACATACCCAAATTTTTTTTTTGGATTTTTTAAAGATTTATTTATTTATTATGTATACAACATTCCTGTAATGTATGTTTGTATGCCAGAAGAGGGCTCCAGATCTCATTATAGATGGTTGTGAGCTACCATGTGGTTGCTGGGAATTGAACTCAGGACCTCTGGAAGAGCAATCAGTGCTCTTAACCTCTGAGCCATCTCTCCAGCCCCCAACATACCCAAATTTATGGGAGACAATGAATGCAGTGTTAAGTGGCAAGTTCATACCATTAAACGTCTAAATAAAGAAGCTGGAAAAATCCCACACTAGTGAATTATCAGAACATTTGAAAACTTTAGAACAAAAAGAAGCAAACTCACCTAAGAGAACTAGATGGCAGGAAATAATCAAATTGAGAGCTGAAATCAACAAAATAGAAACATAGAAAACAATACAAAGAATCAAGGAGACAAAGAGTTGGTTCTTTGAGAAAAATCAACAAAATAGACGCAGCCTGGTCTACAAGAGCTAGTTCCAGGACAGGCTCCAAAACCACAGAGAAACCCTGTCTCGGAAAAAAAAAAAAAACAAAAAAAAAACAAAAACCAAAATAGACAAACCTTTATCTAAACTAACCAAAAGGCAGAGAGAGAATATCCAAATTAACAAAATCAGAAATGAAAAGGGGGACATAACAGACACAGAGGAAATACAGAGAATCATCAGGTCATATTTCGAAAACCCGTACTCCACAAAACTGGAAAACTTAAAGGAAATGGACAATTTTCTGGATAAATATCACTTACCAAAATTAAATCTAGACCAGATAAGCAAATTAAACAGACCTATGATTGCTGAAGAAATAGAAACAGTCATCAAAAGTCTCCCAACAAAAATAGCCTAGGACCAGATGGAGAACTAATACCAATACTCCTCAAATTATTCCACACAATAGAAACAGAGGGAACATTGCCAAACTCTTTTTATGAGGCTACAATTACCCTGATACCCAAACCACAGAAAGACATTACTAAGAAAGAGAATTACAGACCAATCTCACTCATGAACATTTTTTTTTTTTTTTTGTTTTGTTTTTCGAGACAGGGTTTGTCTGTGGCTTTGGAGCCTGTCCTGGAACTCGCTCTGTAGACCAGGCTGGTCTCGAACTCACAGAGATCCGCCTGCCTCTGCCTCCCGAGTGCTGGGATTAAAGGCGTGCGCCACCATCGCCCGGCTCACTCATGAACATTGATGCAAAAATACTAAATAAAATACTGGCAAGTGGAATCCAAGAACACATCAGAACCATCATCCACCATGATCAAGTCAGCTTCATCCCACAGATGCAGGGATAGTTCAACATATGAAAATCTGTCAACGTAATCCACTATATAAACAAGCTGAAAAATAAAAACCACATGATCATCTCATTAGATGCCAAAAAAGTTTTTGACAAAATACAACATCCCTTCATGATAAAGATCTTGGAGAGAGCAGGGATACAAGGAACATACCTAAACATAATTAAGGCAATATACAGCAAGCCAACAGCCAACATCAAACTAAATGGAGAGAAACTCCCAGCGATCCCACTGAAATCAGGAACAAGACAAGGTTGTCCACTCCATATCTATTCAATATAGTTCTTGAGGTCCTAGCTAGAGGAATAAGACACCAAAAGGAGATCAAGGGGATATAAATGGGAAAAGAAGAAGTCAAACTCTCACTGTTTGCTGATGATATGATAATTTACATAAGTGATCCCAAAAATTCTATCAAGGAACTTCTACAACTCATAAATACTTTCAGTAATGTAGCAGGATACAAGTTTAACCTCGGCTTCAAGGTAAATTTCTTGAGGAATAAGGCAAGATAGTCAGAGAATAATAGCATTCCAAACAAAAGAGCAACATATATTAAAACTTGAAGAAAAACAAAGCTACACTGGAATGTAAGAGTTTTTAAAAAGATCAGTCTTCAAATCAGCTACTTGGGTTCAATTAACTAATTTTGAATTTGTGGTGTCCACTATGCCTGTGATTTTTCTCATCTGTGAAACGGTGATAATGAGCTACATTGTATAGTATTTACTTTAAAATGAAAGTGAGGGCCCAGAGAGATGGCCCAGCAGTAAAAGGAACTCGTTACAAAGCCTGATGACCTGAGTTTTATTCCCCAGAACCCACAATGTAGAAGGAGAGAACCAACTCCAAAAAGTTGTCCTCTGTCTTCAATGCCTGTATCAGAGTATGGAACACACATATAAATGCATGCATATATACACACACAAAATTAATTTTTAAATAAAGGTGAAATAAGACACTAAAGGCACCAACCACAGGCCAGAAACACGGCACGTGCTCAGTAAGTGTTAACTTCCCTTTTGCTAATAATTCAATAACCTTTAACCGGAGAGTCACTTCTGCTGGTGGGCATGTTGGTACAACCCTTTAATCCCAGCACCCAGGAAGCAGAGGCTGGTAGATCTCTGTGAGTTCCAAGCCAAGCTGGTCTACAAAATAGGTTCCAAGGTGGCCAGAGCTAAGAACTACATAGTGAAACTCTGTCTGTCACCTCTACTTTCATCACTACGGGACCCTAATTAAACACAACTTTCCCAGCTTCTCAAGCTTTGCCAGTTCTTCAGGAGCTCGGGAGTAAATTGTAAGCCACTCAGCAAGTTAGAGTCATTCATGGAAGAAGGGGTGAAAAAGAATAAAGGAAAAGAAAAAAAAACAATGGGAGTAATACCAGCTAAATTTACTAAATAAATATAAGAAACTATCAAAGAATAATTGAAAATCAATAATCCATTATTATACCACTTACCAGTATAGGCCATGTTCTTAGGGTTGCCATAAGGAGCCCCAGGTTGCACGGGGCTGTAAACAGGGTTCATTGTGGAAGACTGAGGACCCTACAACAAAGACAAATAAAACAGCACTGATTATAATTGCTCATTGCCTCTGACATCATCTCCTCTAAAGCTCAGTCATGCTCAAAAAGAAGCAGCATGGTGTAGGGGAAAAAAGGCTAAACAGACTATAATACTTTCCCCATTTTACAGATGAAGAATGACAGGGCAGAGAAGTGATATAACTTGTTCACTGTCAACTCGGCCACTTTAGGCTGTCAGTTTAATATTAGTCCCAGTATCCCATAGAAAGTTCTTTTTTTTTTTTAAATATTTATTTATTTATTTATTAAGTATACAGTATTCTGTCTGCGTGTATGCCTACAGGCCAGAAGAGGGCACCAGATCTCATTACAGATGGTTGTGAGCCACCATGTGGTTGCTGGGAATTGAACTCAGGACCTTTGGAAGAGCAGGCAGTGCTCTTAACCTCTGAGCAATCTCTCAGCCCCCCCATAGAAAGTTCTTAAGGCATTGGGTGGCATTGGCCAAATCACTTTTCCTCTTTGACTTCAACATTCTAATAATAAATGGATTAGTTAACCTCTGATGTTCGTTCTCTGTCTGTCTGTCTGTCTGTCTCTCTCTCTCTCTCTCTCTCTCTGTTCAAGACAAGGTTTCTCTGTGTAGTTTTGGATCCGCCTGCCCCTGCCTCCTGAGTGCTGATCAAAGGTGTGTGCCAGTGCTGGGCTGGTTCTAATGATGCTACTTCACAAGTTGGAAAACGTCATACTTTTTCAGTTTATCAAGGGAGTCTGAGTATCTGGTAGTGAGCACTTAGCCTGCTAGAAGGAAGGAACAGCAACTGTTTGTCTATCCCCCCTTTTGCCTGTAGAAGATAAGATAAAAGCTACTAACAGCCTTAAAGGAAAAAAGGAGGAATTTTTATTACATCTATTTGTGTGCTCAGCTACGGCACTGTGTGTGAAGGTCAGAGGATTTCTTCTTCCAGTATGTGTGCCCAGAGATCTGGCCACAAGCATCTCTACCTACGGAACCATCTTAATGGTCTCCAAAGGGTAAATTTGATGCCACTGAACATCCTAATGCAAAAAAAGAAACAGAGCCAAGACTTCTTGCCAAATTTATTCAAGGGAAATAAATAAACTTGGAAATTTGTGTGCAATAACTATCACCGGCACAAGTGCTCTTAATGTCCTCAATGAAGGGCATTTTCCATTCTGTTTAATGGAAAACCTGTTATTATGCTCTATTAACCAATTTGTCCCGTCTTCTTTAGAGAGCCATATCTTACAAATAAGCTGACACATGTTTGAATACGTGTCTCCAGAAATATTACTCACACTCCATAAAAATCAAACAATTCTCTCCTAACTAGATTTACATGATAGATGGGCAATTTTTTAGGTCATTAACTTCTGTTTCATCCCAGGAGAGGGAACAAGTTAGATGCTGAAGGCAGGCTTGATGACAACAGTGACTAATTAAGTCTGTCCAGGGTTCTGGAATGAGAGAAGGAGTTCTCAAGTATAGGACACGAGGACCATCAGATAGACAAACAGGTAAATTTCATAATCTAGAACAATGCCAGAGTTAACAGGGTCAATACACTCATCTACAAGTTAAAGCTACAACTCGAGGATATATGTTAAAAGAAAGCATGTGTATTTTCAGCTCAATTTAGCAAAAACTATTTTCACAACCAGAGCTGAGAATTACCTGCTAACTGTGAAGTAACAAACAGAGGTAAACAGTGTGTGACAACAGAGATGACTGCTTGAACATTTTCCCCAACTCGGACCTTCTCCTCCTTAACCAGTTCTCTCCCTAACAAGTCAGTGTCGAGTAAGACTATTAAAAGCTGCAGTGGCTTGAATAGTGGATACTATTATCCACTGAAAGGCACGTGTAAGAAACCTAATGGCCACCGTAACAATAGTAAGAGGTGCCATATTTAAGACACCACATGGGATCTGCTCTTCTGAACGGATTAATCTGTTATACTGGGAGAGGATAAATGTGGTTTCTTGTACTCTTTCTTCTAACCTCTGGTTCTGTTCTTTCTGCACTTCTACCACGGAATGGCACAGCAAGAAGACCCTTGCTAGACACCTGCACCTTGTAGCTGAATTTCCCACCTCCATACCCGTGAGCACATAAATTTCTTATTGTTACAAATTATCTAATCTGTTATAGCAGCATGAAATAGACTAAAATACAACTGGCCCTACAAACATTTGCACATTCTCCTACAGAGAACACATTCTTTGCTGCTGATTTGACAAAATATGGAAACTCGTCAGCTGTGAAACAGATCTCCTGCTGCTCCAAAACGGGAGTCACAGACAGACAGACACAGGAGACCACGACATGGACATAACAACATGAATTCAGTCCCAACCAGTAACTGACAGAAGACATCTGCCAGGGTCTACTATTTGGAATAAACCAGGTATGGTGATACAAAGCTGTAATCCCACACTGAAAAAGCTAAGGCAGGAGGATTGCTGAGTTCAAGGCCCACCCAGGATACACAGTAAGATTCTGTCTCAAAAGTAAACAAACAAACAATTAAAATAAGACTATTATAACTACTTCATGGGAATTGCTAAGATCAGAGTTCCTAGCTTGCAAGGGATTATCCTTTGCAATAGAATCTATATACTGCTCATGATTTCAGCAACAGTTCACAAGTTCTACAGTCAGGTATTTCAGGTTCTACAATTACCACCTATCAAAGAAAACCACAGGCAAGTGTCCTAACCATTCTGAGTCTCAATTTCCTCTAGTCTCATAATGAAAAAGAATACTATAAAAAAAGTTTTTCTTTGTTTGTTTTGATTTTGAGAGACAGAATTTCTATGTTAACAGCACTGGCTGTCCTGGAACTCTGTAGACCAGGCTGGCCTTGAACTCTCAGATCCGCCTGCCTTTGCCTCACAAGTGCTGGATTAAAGGCAAGTGCCACCACCACCCAGAAAAATTTACTCTTTTTAGGAATATAGTTCTGAGCCTAAAAAATGTATTCAAGCTGGGCGGTGGTGGCGCACGCCTTTAATCCCAGCACTCGGGAGGCAGAGGCAGGCGGATCTCTGTGAGTTCGAGGCCAGCCTGGTCTACAAGAGCTAGTTCCAGGACAGGAACCAAAAAGCTAAGGAGAAACCCTATCTCAAAAAAATCAAAACAAAACAAAACAAAACAAAAAACAAAAACGTATTCAATCATACAAATAACATCAAGTCTATAATCAAGATGTAACGATTTTTATCACTTTCAACTATATCTTTTTGGCCAATCCCCATCTTACTCCCAGCTCCTGGCAATAACACACCTATTTTTTGTTGTTGTAAGGATTTTCTTTATAGATTCAGAATCTGTATATACAGTTCTTTCTTAAAGTTAGTTGGCTAACTGGTATTATTGTTATTTCAGATGAGATTAAAAGAACTACTGAGAAAAAACATAGTAATCATAAAATGGATCAAACTGTACATATTTTGAATCTTCATCTTTTTAAAGATGGACAGTCTAAAGCAGTCTAATCCAATATAATGTGTGCACCATGTGAGTGTGGGTGGTCACAGAGGTCAGAGGGCATGGAATCCCCTGGAACTAGAACTATAATTGTGAGCTGCTGGATGTGAGTGCTGGGAACCAAAACCAGGATGTGGGTCCTCTGAAAGAGCAGTAAGTGCTCCTAACTACTAAGCCATCTCTGTAGCCCCAATGTATCAGCTAAGGATGTACTAAAAGGCAGAACATTTGCTTAGCAAGCACAAGACTTTGGATTGAGTTTGTGTATCACATATCCCTTCCCCAACTCTGCACTAAAAGGGGAGGAAAGGACAAATCTTACACCTGTGCTGGTTATTAACTCCTGAAATGCAGCTTGGGATAATAAGAGGGTTTTACTTTTATTTAGTAATTAAATGTTGACATTTATTCAGAATAGTATTTTACTCAGAAATTTTTTAAAGATTTATTTATTATGTATACAACATTTCTTCCATGTACGACTGCAGGCCAGAAGAGGGCACCAGACCTCATTACAGATGACTGAGCCACCATGTGGGTGCTGGGAATTGAACTCAGGACCTCTGGAAAAGCAGTCAGTGCTCTTAACCTCTGAGCCATCTCTCCAGCCCCAGAAAATATTTTTTTATGGATATATTTTACAAAAGTAGCATTCTACCATACTTGAAAGGTTCCTTATACATCTAAATGTTTTCCACTGTATTACTTCATAAACTACAAATAATGAATTCAAGAGTTTCAAGTAACCCCATTTAGCTAAATGAACTGATTCTATTTTACAGATAAAACATTAGTCTGAGAAAGAGCAAGTGAACTATGCAAGTCCACAAAGCAAACAGAAGGTAGAGTTTAGACCAGCACCCAAAAGGATCAAAGACTTAAGAGCTAAAAATATAAATCCCTTAGAAGCAGAGGAAGAAGATAAGGAATGCACCTTCATAATCTTTGATTGACAATGATCTTCCAGATGTGCTATGATAGCAAGAAAAGGTAAGAGGGGGACTGAAGTGGATTTAAGTAAATAGTTTAATTTTGTTGTTGTTGTTATTATTATTATTCCCAGAGGAACCACAAGCCAGTGTGGTGGCAACATCCTGCAATCCCAAGTAACTCAAGAAACTGAGGCAAGAGAATCTCGAGTTCCAGGCTAGACTGGGCTACATATATAGTATGACCCTGTGTTCAGAACACATAAAAGTCAGGCTTGACAGTGCAGGACTATAGTTTCATCTACTAGGGAGTGAGTAGGATCACAAGCCAGTCTGAACTACAGTGCAAATTCATTCATTGCCAGTTCTAGCAATTTAATGAGAGTCCAAATCTCAGAAAGTAAAATAGAGGCTGGGGATATGGCTCAGGGGTAGACAGAACACTTGCCTGCCTTGCTTGATGCCCCAGGTTCAATCTCTGTACTATGAACAAAACAAGGACACATCAAGAAAAACAACCAGACAAGTTACAGGATGAAATTGCCTTTTTCTTTGAAACAGGGTCTCAGGTATTCCAGG